TTATTATTTTATGAAAATATTATTGAAAATATTAATTATAGGAAGGAATAACATCATAATTCAAGGAAATGGACGTCAGAAATCACGTGACCACGTGATTAACTCATGAAATTGTGAAAATCCTTTGAATTTCTATAGATTTTATATGGTGGACAATCTTTGAGACAAATTATCTCTTTATTTTATTAGTCAAATAGTCAAGATCACTCTATCAAACTATAGGTAAAATCACGTAGAGAACATAGTTACTTAGAATAACTAAAGTTCTTTAGATAATAGAATCGTTAGTAATTTAGGGATTTTCATTCCGAAACGAAAAACAGATTTGCAAAGAAATATCTTTGATATACGAGCAAAGGATAATCGTACAACTTAAAACTGTATATAAGAATGGCCATTTCGCCTTTCTGGTCAAAATAACAATTACTTCAACTTCCTTTACCTTTATAATTATATTATTTGACCTTTATTTCCTTTCTAATTTCTTTAATAAAATTATCTTTAAATCTTAATGTTAATTTAATAATTCTTTATTAATAAATTCTCTTATTTTTATAAATTAATTGGAATAAATATTTTGGCAGGCTTGTACATTATTATCGTATAAGGAAGACAGTTCTTGCAGTGCTAATTGCCATTGAGTTGCTAAGCAGCAATATATTGTAATTGGCACGGCGAAAACAGCCCACTTTACTATGAATATTTAAAGCTGGTCAAACGATATTCTAATTATTTATAAAAGGTTAAAGAATTTATTTAATAAAGGAATTCTTAAAAAGCCCTAATCACTTGGACATAAAGTCTTATACTACAAGGATTCTATGCCGAACCTTATATTTTTCTTTTAAAACCTTCTTATATTTAATTATTATTATCCTTGATATCTAAAACTTGTAATATAACATTTGGCGACGACAACAGTTTAGGGTTGCCCATAAGGATCCCACTCTGTTTATTGTCAAACTGAGGGAGAGAATTTATGAATCAAATGAAAAAACTTTTTAATATTGAAAACATATCCACTGAAAGTCTTCAAACAAAAATTCCCATATCATTTTTCTCTTCTAAATCTGAATTATCCGACGATAATCTTCAAACACTTGAAATTTACGATACACCAATGACTAGCAAAAAGGAAAAATACATTGCTACCAGCTCAGGGACAACTCCTTCCAATCCATTAACTACTTCAGTAAACTTTGCTCTAAACAATGAAAATGAAATTTTTAAACAACTGTCCAAAAGTCTCAATAGCTTGGCTACTGCAATAAATGGTATGGACAAAGCACATGAAACAGGAATTGTCAAATATCCTGAATTTAGGGGAGGTGACCAGGATTCTCTAAATAGGTTGAAGGAATTTGAAATTGCTTGTAGAACCAATCGAGTGAACTCTCATAATAGGAAGTTACAAATTGTAGCTTCTGTTTTGAAAGGAATTGCTTAATCTTGGTATCAAAATAGCAAACATAGAATTGTATATTGGGATCATGATGATCGAATACAGGATATATTTGTTCCAAGGTTCAAAGCACAATTCTGTACTGATCATCAAAAAAATCGCTGGATAATGGAATTAAGGTCTAGAACACAAAAACCAGGAGAAACAGTTGATGAATACTTTGATGCAATTTCACAACTGTATGACAAAATTGATCCTGATAACTATTATCCTGTACAGGATAAACTTATTCAATTTATTAATGAATTAAGAAATGAATTGAGAGAACCTGTAGGAATGGCTGGACCAAATAATTTGAATGAAGCTCTTACCAAAGCAAAAATGGCTGAAAATATGTTATCAAAGGACCTACCTTTAAGTGGATATTCCTTGACAAGGCATTATTACACTCAGGAATCTTCCTCTTCTCAAAATGAAATTAATAACATAAAGGAGACATTAAAAGGATTAACTCAACAAATATCTCACTTATCAACTTTGAAAACTCAACAGCCAAATTAAAACAAAAATAATTTAAACAAGGAATTTATTTGTTTTAATTGTGACAAAAAAGGACACACTTCAAAAAAGTGTAAGGCACCAGCCACTGAATGCAACATATGTCATAAAAAAGGACATAGGGCAAAATTCTGCAGGAACAAAAACAATACTCAAGGAAATAACTCCAACCATAATTCCAACAACAATCCCAATAATCAAAGGGATGGTAAATCCTATTTGAACCTTTCTGTTAAGGAACTGTCCCAAGTTCTTCAATCCACAATGCAATCTTTAAACTAAATAGGGCACCCCTGGGAGGTGGGAGTGCTGAGGAACAAAAACCCTCCACAAATGCAAATATTTTAATGGAAAGGAATGAGGAAACTAAACAACAACAAGTGGTGGATGCAATGTATTGTGAAGCTATAGTGGAAGGCAATTCAACTTATCTGATCTTGAATACAGGAGCTGTAGGAAGTGTAATTACAAAGGACTTCTTAAGGAAAATTAATCGAACAGTGGATTTACCCTCTAATACGAATATGATTGATATTCATGGAGGAAGGAAAAGGTCATTAGGAATTGTCAAAAATATTTCAATCAAAATAAAAGGGAATATTGTATCAATTGACATGGAAGTAACTGATTCAAAGGATTATACTGTCATGGTGGGAGGAAATTGATTTTCCAAAACACATGCAGTAATTGATTACAAAACAAGAATTATGAAATTTGAATGGCAAGGAAGAATCTGTCGAACCCCTGCTACATGTTGGGAAAAACTTGAATATGAAGATGATAAACCTAAAGGAATTATTACACAATATCAAGAGGAATCTTTTGAGAATGAGGATTCAATTGAATATGAAATTGAACAATCTTTAAATAAATCAAGGTTTTATTTAATTTCTGGGGATACCAAGGAAAAACCTTTGGTACAAATTAATGAGGAATCTATTATAATTGAAGACAAACATGATCTTTGGAATATGTGGAGGACTTAAAAAGGACAATGAAACAAAAACTATTGGATAGACACATCACAGGATATTATTGGAAAGGTCCAAATGTTATCTGTTGGTGTGATAAAGTTTTGGAATTGGAAGAGGACATTTGTGAAAAATGTCGTACCCAATTTAATGAATGGAATTTATTGCAACACCTCTACAAGGGCAAGGATATAATTGAAAAACCTTGTTATAGTAACAAGTTGAAGGAAAATAGTTTAACCTCTGAACAACAACAACAATTGAATGAATTGTTGAACAGGAATAAGGATCTGTTTGCAAATGGATTGAATCAATTAGGACGTACTCATCTGGAAACTCATAGAATCCCAACAAATGAAACTATATCTATACGACAAAGGGCATATAGGGTATCTCCTACTAAACAAAAATTTATTGAGGAGGAAATTAAAAACATGTTGGAAAATAATATTATACAGCCCTTTACAAGTCCATGGACATCACCTGTAGTTTTGGTCAAAAAGAAAAATGGAAAAACATGGTTTTGTGTTGACTATAGGAAGCTCAATTCTGTTACAAAAAGGGACTCTTATCCATTACCACGAATTGATGAAATATTGGATTCACTTGGAAAAGCTAAATGGTTCTCATCATTGGACTTTGCAAGTGGATATTGGTAAGTTGAGGTTGAATCAAAGGACAGGGAAAAAACTGCCTTTATCACAAAACAAGGCATATATGAATTTATTGTTATGCCTTTTGGACTTATGAATGCACCTGCAACTTTTCAACGACTAATGGATAGGGTTCTGTGCAAGGAAAAGGAACATTTGTTCAGGTTTATCTTGATGACATTGATGTATACTCTGAAACTTTTGAGGAACACTTGCAACACCTTCAGGAAGTTTTCAATAGGCTGAGGGATGCTGGATTAAAATTAGGAATTGAAAAATATCACTTTTGCAAAAATGAATTGGCATTCCTAGGACATGTAGTTGGAAAGGATGGAATTACTCCTGATCCTACAAAAGTGGACAAAGTGAAAAATTATCCTACTCCTACAAATACTACTGAGTTGAGAGGATTTATTGAATTGGCATCTTACTACTGTCGATTTATTCAGGACTTTGCAACAATTGTTGAACCATTAAACAAATTGTTAAGGAAAAATCAACAATATCAATGGAATGAACAATGTCAAAAGGCATTTGAAATTCTTAAGGAAAAATTAACAACTGTACCAATCTTAACATATCCTGACTTTGAAAAACCTTTTATTCTATACATTGATGCATTATATTCTGGATTAGGAGCTGTACTTGCTCAAAAGGATAATCAAGGACTTGAACATGTGGTAGCTTATGCTAGTTACAACTTGGACCCTGCTAAAAAAAATTACTCTGTAACTGAAATTGAATGTTTGGCTGCTGTCTGGACAATGAAATACTTTAGGCCATATATTTGTGAGGGTCTTTCAAAGTCCTCTTCAATACTAAAGTTTTTAAGGCTGAGGCGTAATAATTTGGTCCGAGTATTCTGCTCTTTCTCTCTAAAATAAACTCAAATTCGTCCGTTAACAATGCGCATTCGTCTACTCAAACTATACCTAAGTT